GGAGTAGGGTAGCATGCAAGGCATCTAGATGGGAGATTTGTGAGTACAATGGTGGCTAAAAGTGATGAGTTGGTGCCATCATTTCTAGCACAGGTATTGCTGGTGAAGGTCGAGGTTCAGGCTTCCTGGGCTTAGTAGGCCGACAGGCAGGATCTGTGTGTGCAGGCAGAGGCCTGGGCCTCCAATAGCTTGAGACAAGCAGATGGGCTAGGTCTTCAAGGTACTGTGAACTTGGACTTCAGCTTTGCCGGAGTAAAGCTAGGTTTAGTGCTGTTGAAGGAGAAGGGTATTGAAAAGGGCAAACCCACTGTAGTTACACCCACCCCTATTTTGCCTTTAAGTTAAGGGCCCAGCAAAGCAGGAGGGGCTGTCTCACCACCCTCTTTATCACAGTGCCACAGTTGGAGTCAACGTGAACTGGGTCTTGATCATCCTGGTGGAAGGTATCCCAGAAAGAGGTGACACGTGGTATCCTCACTTGTACATCCACATCAGAGTGGGTGGAGGAGGCTTCTCATAGATTTCTGGGCAGGTCTCTGGTTGTGAGGAGAATTTTCGGTCATGGTGGAGATTGCCAGCCAAGTCATCCAAGGGTGGTCCCTGACACCAATTGTCTTGAAGGGTCCTCAGGCTGGTCTCCCGGTGACAGCCTTTCCTGGCCAACTAGGTCTCAGTGGTTGGGTTCCTTGTAGGGGAACACATCCCTTAAGATCTGACTTGAGCACGTGTAGCGTTGCGGCTTTCCTTAGCCAATATTCCCATGGATACTTCATCCCTCTCCCAGGAAGCTTGTTTCTTGAAAGTGTCAGGAAGGAAATTTCCATGTCAGCAGGCATGTTCTCCTGGCATCTGGTTCCACAGGCCTGTTTGCCTTGAGGAAGGGCATGGAGTGTGTGCCGGCCACACACAGTGCTTGGGACAGGCTAGTGACTATGATCGTTGGTGTTGTCTTCAGTGTTCCATTCCTCATGTTGGTGGGGCAGAAGCTTGTTTATTCCCTTGGGGAGTGGACAGGGATAGCGTAACAGGGATGGGTTGAGAGGTTACCTAGCTGGCAGTTGAAGGAGAAAACATGGGTGTGATTTGCAATTGCTCGTGCTCCTTGTAGGCGACCTCGTGACTGGGAATTGGTGGGTCCACAGCGAGTGTTATGGTTTTGTTGGGGTCCAGATTTAGAGGTGTGAGGATGGGGGTTTAGTCAAGGTAGCTGCATGATGGGCCAGAAGCCACAGCAGTGTGTGTGGTAAAGCTCCGTGATGGTGATACATGCAAGTTCCATGGATGAGTATGTGCATGCCTCTTGGCAGAGGGTTCAGCCTGAGCATTCAAATGGCAAACCCATCATGGGACTCAGGTGTCATGCTGACTCTTGGGAAGGCTTGTTGGAGAACCCAAAGGGAGGACTCTAACATTGGAAGGCAGCATCAGGCCACCAGAGTGAGTCCAGGTATGCCCATTAGGCAGTGAATCTGATGGACATTGCTGCTCAGATGCTGGCAGTATCCAGTGATGTTGGTAGACTTTGGTTTTGTGCCAGGCACACCTCCCTGGCTGAGGATCTGAAGCCAGCATGTCCTCTTTGTCGTCAGATCCCAGAAATCATGGGAATAATGAGGGGCAGGAGAACGTGCCCACATTGGGTGTTTGCCTTCTGGAGCAGCCTTGTTTGGTGGGAGAGTCACCCCCTTTTGTCCACAATGGACTGAGCTCAAAGTTTACATGCTAGGCTTTGGTGTCAAGGAGTCGGCCCTTCCCAGTGTTGAGTATAGAAGGTGGGCAATGTGACTGCTCCTTTATGAGATGGAGAGCACACGAGCACCCTAGGGTGCCATGCTGATAGGGACCCACACATGCAAAGCAGCACAGAGGAACACACAGAAACATGAGCACACTTCGACTGGAGACACAACATGTTCTGTGGGTGTCCATATTGTTACTTGGCTTAGGGGATTTCATGGAGAAGAGAAGGCAGAAACTGCAAAACAGGATGCCAATGAGAAGGGAGGGAAGTTATTCTGCTGGCAAGGATGGCAGTGCAGCGGCCACCTTTGTTCTTGAATCCCTTTCTGAAATGTGCATTCGATGTGTCCACTTCTCAGGGGCAACCGCCTTAAGAGACATGCCATTGGTGGGCAAGAATGAGGTATATTCCTCCTTAGTACAGAGTTACCTAGAATCCTGGAATCACTGTGACCAAGCCTGGCAGATCACTATGGAGGGTAAGCATTTCCTGGGTTGGAGGGTGGACGCTGTATTTCAGATTTTGTAGCTCCTCCTGGGAACAACTTCTCTGTGGCATGGCTCTGGCTTCCCCTGGGGTGCAATACACCTTGGTGATCACCAGCTCTCCCACTCTCGAGTCCTGCAGGGTAAAAGTTCTAGCAGAGTGGAACATTCTTGGATGGATGACAAGTCCACCGTCAAAATGTTTTGGAAAAGTTGAACCTGAGTGAAACTCACTGCCATCTTGCTCATTGGAACTGAGGTGCAACACTTTGTCTGAGCCTGGGCCTTTAGGAGTGAGGCACAATGTGCACTGTTTCAAATTCCTGCCATGCCTCCAGGGCATGCACAATGGGAATTCTCCCTGGGTAGGGGCATCAGGAAGAGGGTCGCATACAATGCACCTGGGTAGATTTGTGAGTGCAATTGTGGCTGTATTGATGGCACGGCACCATCATTTCTAGCACAGGGATTGGTGGTGAATGTGGAAGTGCAGGCCTCCTGGGCTTGTTAGGCCGGCAGGCAGGATCTATGTGTGCAGGCAGAGGACTGGGCCTCCAATATCTGGGGATGACCAGATGGGCCAGGTCTTCAGGCTAACTGTGACCTTGTTCTTCTGCTTTGCCAAGGTAAAGCCATGTTCAGTGGTGATGAAGGGGACGGCTATAGAAATGACTGACTCCTCTGAGGAGTCACATTGACCTTCACCTTAAGGGCCCAGCAAAGCAGGATGGGCTGCTGTCCTACTCTCTTACTCGCATTTCAATAGCTGGAGGTGAACTGAACCATGTCCTGACAGTCCTGGCAGGAAGTTATCCCAGAGAGCGGAGACACGTGGTGTCCTCACATGGACATCCACATTGGGGATGTGTACAGGAGGCTTCCCAGATATTCCTGGGCCAGTCTCTGGTTGTGGGTTTAATTTTTGGTGTGGTAGACATTGCCAGTGAAGTCGTCCAAGGGTGATTCCTGTGACCACTCTTTTTGCTGTGTAGCTGATTTAGCATTTTCCTGGCTGACTAGGTCTCCAAGGTTGTCTTCCTCATAGGAGAACAAGTGCCCCGTGGTCCCACTTGAGGACGTGTGGTGGTGCAGCTTTTCTTAGCCAATATTTACATGGATCCTTCTTCCCTTTCCCAGGATGCTTGTTTCTTGAAAGTGTCAGGAAGGAAATTTGCATGGCAGTGTCCATGTTCTCCTGGGATCTGGTTTCACAGTTCTGTTTGCCTTGAGGAAGGGTAGGTTTGTGTGCACCCTCTGTTAATTGTAGGTGCACCACGGCTGAGTAGCCATTGGCTTGGGGAGAATGATGACTCGGTGCTGGTGGGGTCTTCAGTATTCCATTACCCATGTGGCTCGTCGGAAACCTGCTTATTCCCATAGGGAGTGGACAGGGGTAGCATGACAGGAATGGGTTGAGGGGTTACCCAGCTGGCAGTTGAAGGAGAAAAGGCAGGTGTGATTTGTGATCAATCCTGCTCCTTGTAGGTACCTGGATGACTGCGAATCAACAGATACAAAGCGAGTGTTATGGTTTTATTGGGGTCCAGCTTTGTAGGCATGAGGATGTGGGTTTGTTCAAGGTAGCTGCATGATGGGCCCATTGCCACAGTGGGGATTCTAGTGAAGCTCTCTGGGGATGATACATGCAAGGCCTGTGGGTGACCATGTGTATGACTCTTGGCAGAGGGTTCTGCTAGGTCATCCAATGGGCAAAACACCCATGGCTCTCAGGTGTCATTGTCACTCCGGAAAATACTTGTTGGAGCCTCTAAGGGAGGGCTTTGACTTTGGAAAGCAGCATCCGGCCACCTGTGTGAGTCTACCTTTGCCCATTAGGCAGTGAATGGATGTCCTTGCTTAGATGGTGATGGTGTCCAGTGAAGTCAAGCGATATTAGTGGACTTTGGTTTTGTACTAGGTGTACCTCTTTGACTGAGGGTCCAGAGCCAGTTTGTTCTCATTGTCCTCAGATTCCAAGCATCTGGGAAATCTGAGGAGCTGTAGTTGTGCCCACATTGGGTGTACGCCTTCAGGAGCAGCCTTGGTTGTTGGGAGAGTCAATCCTACCTTTTGTCCACAGTGGACTGAGCTCAGAGTTGATGTCGTTTATGTTGTAGGTCTTGGTGTCAAAGAGTCAGCCTTTTCTGGTGTTGGGTATAGAAGATGGGCATCATGACAGCTCCTTCAGGAGATGGGGAGCATATAAGTGCCCAAGGGTGCCAGGCACATAGTGACCTACACACACACAGAGGAACACATAGAAACTTGAGCACACCTTAGGTTGGAGACACAACATATTCTGTATATGTGCATATTGTTATTTGGCTTAGGGGATTTCATGGAGAACAGAAGGCAGAAACCACAAAACAGGATGTCAGTGAGAAGGCAGGGAAGTTACTGTGCTGGCAGGGATGGCAGCGCAGTAGACACCTGTGGCCTTGAATCCCTTTCAGAAGCGTTCAGTTTGTGTCCACTTCTTAGGGGCAGTCATCTTGGGAGGCATTCCATCTGTGGGTGAGGATGAGGTGCATTCTTTCTGAGGACAGAGATGCCTGGAATCTTGGAATTACTGTGGCTGAGGCTGGCAGATTGCTCTGGAGGGTAATCATTTCCTGGGTTGGAGGACTGACCCTGTGTTTTGGACTTTGGAGCTCCTCCCGGGAAAGGCTTCTCAGTGACATGGCTCTGGCTTCTCCAGGGTGCAGAAGACCTTGGGGGTTACCGGCTCTCCAACTGCTGAGTCCCATGGGACTGTAGTCGTTAGGAACATGCTTGGATCAATGATGAGTCGCCCATCAAAACATTCCTTGGAAAAGCTGAACAACACCAGTGAAACTCACTACCATCTCACTCATCAGAACTGAGGTCCAACACATTGCCTGAACCAGGGCCTTTAGTAGTGAGGGACAATGTGTACTGCTTCACATTGCTGCCATCCCTTCAGGGCACACACAATGGGAATTCTCCCTAGGTAGGGGCATCAGAAATAGGGCAACATGCAATGCACCTGGGTAGGAGATTTGTGAGAGCAAAGGTGGCTGTCTTGATGGCATGGCGCTATCATTTCCGGCACAGGTATTACGGGTGAAGTTGGAAGTGCAGGCCTCCTGGGCTGGGTAGGTCAAGAGACAGGATTTGTGTCTGCAGGCAGAGCCCCTTGCATCCAATATCCAGGAATGAGCAGATAGGCCAGGACTTTAGGCTGAGCATGAACTTTGACTTCTGTTTTCCCTGGGTAAAGACATTTTAAGTGGTGATGAGGGGGAGGGCTACAGAAAAGGGTGAAACCTCTGCAGTTCTACACCTCCACATTGGGCTCTCAAGTTAAGGGCACACAAAAGCAGGAGGGGCTTTCTCCCCCCCCTCCATCTTTATCGCAGTGCCACAGCTAAAATCAATGTGAACTTGGTCTTGATGGTCCTGGCAGGAATGTATCCAAGACAGAGGTGACACTTAGTATCCTCACATCAAGGTAGGTGGAGGAGGTTTCCCATATATTCCTGGGTAGGTCTCTGGTTGTGGGTGGAATTCTCAGGCATGGTGGAGATTGCCAGCCAAGTTATCCAAGGGTGGTCCCTGACACTAGTCGTCTTGCAGGGTCCTCAAGCTGGTCTCCAGGTGACCTACCCTTTCCCGGCCAACTAGGTCTCCATGGTTGTGTTCTTCATAGGGGAACACATCCCTTAGAATCCCACTTGGGCATGTGTAGTGTTGTGGCTTTCCTTAGCCAATATTCTCATGGATACTTCATCCCTTTCCCAGGAAGCTTGCTTCGTGAAAGTGTCAGGAAGGATACTTTTCTACGTCAGCGGGCATATTCTCCTGGGATCTGTCCTCCTTGCCTGGAAGAAGGGCAGGGAGTGTGTGCAGTCACTCACACTGCTGTGGAGCAGCCATTGGGTTGGCACAGACTGGTGACTGTGGTTGTTGGCGTTGTCTTCAGTGTTCCATTCCCCAAGTTGGTGGGGCAGAAGCTTGTTTATTCCCTTAGGGAGTGGACAGGGATAGTGTGATAGGAATGGATTGAGAGGTTACCCAACTGACAGTTGAAGGAGAAAACATGGGTATGATTTGTGATCAGTCATGCTCCTTGTAGGTGACTACACAACTGGGAATAGGTGGATCCACAGTAAAGTGGTTATGGTTCTAAAGGGGTCCAGATTTGGAGGTGTGAGGATGGTGGTTTGGTCAAGGAGGCTGCGTGATGGGCTAGATGCCACAGCAGTATCTGTGGTGAAGCTCCATGAGGGTACTACGTGCAAGTTCCATGGATGAGCATGTACACGCCTCTTGGCAGACAGTTCAGCCCAGTCGTACAAATGGTAAACACATCATGGGACTCTGGTATCATGCTGACTCCAGAGAGGGCTTGTTGGAGAACCCAAAGGGAGGACTCCAATGTGGGAAGGTAGCTTGAGGCCACAGGAGTGAGTCCAGATATGCCCATTAGGCAGTGAATATGATGGACTTCTCTGCTCAGATGGTGGTGGTGTCCAGTGATTTTGGTGGACTTTGGTTTTGTACCAGGCACACCTCCCTAGCTGGGGATCCAGAGCCAGCATGTCCTCATTGTTATCAGATCCCAGAAATCAAGGGAACTGTGAAGAGTGGGAGAATGTGCCCACATTGGGTGTATGCTTTCAGGAGCAGCCTTGACAGGTGGGAGAGTCACCCCTGCCTTTTGTCCACAACAGACTGAGCTCAGAATTGATGGTGTTTATGTGGTAGGCCTTGGTGTCAAGGAGTTGGCCTTTCTGAATGTTGGATATAGAATGTGGGAAGCATGACTGCTCCTTCAGGAGATGGGGAACACTTTACATCCTTCATGTTCACATGGATGGAGCTGGAGAATGTTCTTCTGAGCAAAGTATCACAAGAATGGAGGAAAAAATATCCAATGTACACACC